AGGCAAAAATGATAGTGGAAGAAGTACATGATGGGGTTTGTGGAGCACATGCAAATGGGCATATGATGTCAAGACAAATAATGAGATGCGGATATTTTTGGTCCACACTGGAAAGTGATTGCATCAACTATGCTAGGAGATGTCATAAATGTCAGATTTATGGAGACAAGATAAATGTTCCACCCATCCACTTCATGTAATGACGTCACCATGGCCTTTTCCGTGTGGGGCATGGACGTTATCGGGCAAATCCATCCGAAGGCTTCGAATGGTCACCGTTTCATTCTCGTAGCAATTGATTATTTCACGAAATGGGTAGAGGCCGCGTCATACGCCAGTGTCACTCAATCCACTATTTACAAGTTTCTGAAGAAAGAAATTATATGTCGGTATGGTCTACCTGAAAGGATTATCACCGATAACGCAACAAACTTGAACAACAAGATGATGAGTGCTGCTTGCGAACAGTTCAACATAAAACACCACAATTCCACTGCTTACAGACCAAAGATGAACGGAGCAGTAGAAGCAGCAAACAAAAATATTAAGAAGATAGTGGAGAAAACAACTGAAACCTACAAAGACTGGCATGAGAAGTTGCCTTTTGCTTTGTTCGCCTATCGAACCTCGGTACGTACATCGACTGGGGCAACTCCATTTTCACTAGCCTATGGAATGGAAGCAGTGCTACCCATTGAAGTCGAGATTCCGTCTCTCAGGGTCTTGTCAGAAGTCAAACTAGATGATGCAGAGTGGGCACAATCCAGATATGATCAGCTTAATCTGATAGATGAAAAAAGACTGAAAGCCATTCATCATGGTCAAATCTATCAGAAACGAATGATCCGAGCTCATGACAAAAAAGTGCGCCCGAGAATATTCCGTGAGGGGGATCTAGTGCTAAAAAGAATTTGGCCAGTCCAGAAAGATTTCGAGGAAAATGGACGCCAAATTGGGAAGGACCTTATGTCGTGAAGAAGGCTTTCTCAGAGGAGCCCTTATCCTGGCTGAAATGGACGGACCTGAGCTGCCACATCCCATTAACTCGGACGCATTCAAGAAATACTTCGCTTAGGATGAAACCGAGAGGGCGTCCTAAGTTGAAAAAAAAATGAAAAAAAAAAACAAAAAAAAAAAACAAAAAACGCTTAGGGTGAAAACCCGAAAGGGCGCCCTAAATTGAAAAAAGAAGAGAAAATAAGGTGGGTTCAAGACGAAAACCCGCAAGGGCGTCTTGCAACCAAGGATGGGTCCAAGTTGAAAACCCGGAAAGGGCGATTTGGATATCAACGGTGGAAACATCCCGGCACATGAATCTTCTACGAACCCAACAAATCGGAGAAATGTTGCACCCTCCCAAACGTTGTCGCATTTTCAAAGATCCTTTGGCAAAGGCTGCACACAAAGTCACCAAACGGCTTTTCAACTCAGAAGTGCCCACGTTATCGAGATCTAAGACATTCATTTACACATCATTGTGTATTCGTTTTCTAGAATGTTTGCCATGTATTATTTGTTCTTCTCCTCCCTTATGAATAAAGACCATCTTTCCTCCAATACCTTTTGAGCATCTTGAATTAGATTTAAACCTAATGGTTTATTTATTTTTATGAAAGATAATCACATATTGTTGTACAAAGATTCATTGAAAAGTACAGGTACTCAGAAGCCGATCAAGGCTCATGCACATGCTTGAAATGGTTGAGGGGCATCTTCAAAAAAAAAAAAAAATCATCAAAAGAATTTAAGATCAGGGATCGGAACTTCAAGCTCAAGAGTCAACAACGACAGGCCACCGGAGATCGAGATTACTCTCCAGAGCTCAGAATAACATATGTTGCATATGCATTTTAGGCATACCTAAGAGCATGACATCCATAACATCACATATATGCATATCTTTGCAGGTTTTACCCAGAGCCAATTTCAACTTCACAACGAAGGATATTGGACTCCAGACAACGTAAGTTCAACTTCACGACGAAGGGACCGCTGGTTTTCAACAAACATTTCTCAATTTCAGAGCCAATTTCAACTTCACAACGAAGGATATTGGACTCCCGACAACGCAAGTTCAACTTCACGACGAAGGGACCGCTGGTTGTCACCAAACATTTCTCCAATTCAGAGCCAATTTCAATTTCAAAACGAAAGATATTGGACTGCAGACAACGTAAGTTCAACTTCACGACGAAGGGACCGCTGGTTGTCAACAAACATTTCTCAATTTCAGAGCCAATTTCAACTTCACAACGAAGGATATTGGACTCCAGACAACGCAAGTTCAACTTCACGACGAAGGGACCGCTGGTTGTCACCAAACATTTCTCAAATTTAGAGCCAATTTCAACTTCACAGCGAAGGATATTGGACTCCAGACAACGCAAGTTCAACTTCACGACGAAGGGACCGCTGGTTGTCACCAAACATTTCTCCAATTTAGAGCCAATTTCAACTTCACAACGAAGGATATTCAAGTCAAGGCTCAACTTCACGACGAAGGGGCCATATACATATATAACTTCACAACGAAGGGCATTAGGATATTCGATATGGACGTAATTTGTGTATTTTAATCTTTGCTATATTCTCGTTACACGATAATAAGCAAAGAGGGGCAGCTGTAAACACACAATTTCGTCCTTGCTTATAACAATATATTATACAATATCTATGTGTTACATTATTTTAGTGTGCACTATGTACATTGTATAATATGCATGCATATGATATTATTTTATACAGCAATAAAATGGCCCAAGCGACCCAGGCCCAACAGACTCGTGACCCAGCAAGCAAAGGTTTCCAGGAACCCTAGCAAGTTCCAGCCAACGCCGTAACTGTCCCCATGCGAGAGTCCCGTGTCCCATGTCTCACCGGCATTCATCCCCGGTTATCTCGGCGCCTTGAACTCCTCAATGTCAAACAACCACCAACAAACGTAAGCACGTGAAACAAAAGCAAAGCAACGTGCATTAGTAGGACTCCAAACAACCAAACCGAGTCTTACTCGGATTCAATCTCTAAGGACAGTTTATTTCTTGTACTATAAATAAGATGTAACCCCATTGTATTTGGGAGACACAAAAAATACTGGAAATCACGAGTGCACACACAGGAAATTACTCAGTGAAAAAAAAACGAGCCTTGTAAGCGTTTCAAGAAGAAATAAAAAGGTGAAAGTTTATACCTTTCTTACTTCTTTCCCTTGCATGCGTTATGTCCTTGTCGTTTTACTCGAAAAAACAGAAGATTGGGGCCGATGAACACACGGGAACCGTGATATTCTCTCTTAGATCTACGGTTCCCCGAGGCTCGGTTGGAAAAATATTTTGGTTTTAAAACGTGCGGGCGAAGAGCTTTTAAAAAAACCAGTTTTTTTAGTTGGTTGCCGCCGATGACCGGCGGCCGTCGCCGATCAACGGCGGTGGCAAGGCGGCGAGAGGAGGCCAGGGAGGCCGATTTCTGGAATACATAGCCTTGTTCTTCGTTTTGAAGAATAAGGCAGAGGAAATGAAAGAGAGAAAGAAGTTATCTCGTTTGGTGAAGAGAGAAATGAGCGAGATTAAAAAATTTTAACTTTTATAACAGCTCTTGACCCGCGTCTGGACCCGACCCGGTTTTGATGGACCCGCGTGTTTTTTGCAAGAAGCGAGAGATTTGCGTTTTGGTTCTCCAGTTTCAAAAACCTTTAATTTGGTCCTCTGAATCGATTATTGAACCCGAAATCCTTGTAAATTGACCCTCGAGTTTATTTCGTTTTCAATTTAGTCCCTACTATTATATACTATATTTTCATTATATTATATTTATTCCTTTATTCTATATATATATATATTTTATGTATTTCATTTTATTTATTATACATATATATATACATATAATCATCGTATTTTATTATTTTAAGTATCATTGATAGCGTATATAAACATATATTTTTTCCCTTTTATTATTATAGGTATATCTTTATTTTTCATTTACTTTATGTATTTATTTTATTTATCTCTATACATAACCATCGTTAATTTATTATTTTAAGTATTTTGATAGCGTATATAAACATATTTTTTTTCTTTTATTATTATCTGTATATTTATTTCTATTCATTTGTTTTATTTAATAATATATTTGTTATTTATATATAGTTTTCGGGTTTTTTAACATCATTATCATTTTCATTTTATTCTACTTTATATTTTTTAATTTATTTCATTATTACTTTTTATTTATCGTACATATTGATTATAGTTATTATTTATTTTAGTTTTTTTTTTTTAGTTTTATTTATTTATTACTATTATATCTTTTTCCCATTATTTACATCTTTATCATTATTACCGTTATTCTTATTTATCATTTGTTTACTTGTCTTTTTTTATTTTTATTGTATTTCCTCTAATATTTTATATTTATATATGTATATATTATGTATACTTTATGTAATTTTTATTATTTTTTTCTAATGCCTTATTTATATGCCATATTTTATTTTATTTTCTTTTTTTCTTCTCTCTATTTTACCTTACGTTTTTATGCTTGTCCTTATTTTTGTTTCATTCATGTTCTCTACCTTTATGTTAATTATGTTTATTGTTTATTTTTGTCTATTTTGTTCTTTATTGCACTTTCTTTATTTTTGATTTATTTTCACCACCATTTGTTAACGCTTCTCATGACTTTTTAAGGGTATACTTTTAAATCGAATCAGTGGTAAGCAATTTGGATCAATATTTTACCTTTTAATTTAACTTTCAATTTTCTTAATTAAAGACAACTGGAAATTACACAGTACCGAAAGGGCAGTTCAAGGGTGCTAGCCCTTCCTTGACTGTAACCGACTCCCGAATCCGACACATCTCTGGTAAGACGCAGATCAGGTAAGAAATAGGGTATCCGATCAACCCATTTATTTTTAAATAAATGATCGGTGGCGACTCCAATCCACATTTTTCAAGTCGAAGCCCAATTCCGGGGCCCAACCGAAAGACGGTTACGACATCTGCCATACCTTGAAAAGAAAAAACGAAAACAACCCCACAGCAGCCAGCCCAACCAATATGATAGCTAACTTGGTCCCTACATTATTATTTCCATTCGACTTTGTCTTTGAGCTGATTTTTGAATTCGTAGAGTCATCAGAAAAACCTGAGAAAAAAAAAAGGAAACAACTTGGAGCAAATTGTTTTGACATTTTCAATAATTTTTCCGAGTAATAAGAACAATTTATACTTAAGTCCAACACAATAACTTAAATAAGTGTTCTAACAAATTCAGCTGAAGAAGGTTCAACTAAGGCTTAAAAGCAAGCACCTAATTCCTAAATAGTAAGAACTATTGGTGTGTGAAACAAAAGTTCATGGATCCAAGACCAGCTATGCGTAACAGCATGATTTGATGTCAAAACCATTTTCTCGAAATCATAATTTCCTAAATTTCATTAATAAAAAAATTTCATAAATTTCATGGAATCTTGAACTTATTACAAAGTTCAATATTCTCAAAAGCAAACAGGAATAGCAGATATTATACATATACATTTAGATTCATTCTTCAAAGTCCAAATTCTAGCTTTACAGTTTAAATTTCTCGGAATCGCAATTCCTCAAAATCAGTTCTTCCGATGCTAATTTTTTTCTCAGCAGCTAAACATGAAGATTTTAAGTACTACTAAAACCTAATAAGCATGAGAGATTAACGAATTAATTAAACAAGATTAAAGGTGAGATTCAAAGCAGTATCAATACAAAAACTTGTTTGATCTCGATGCAGAAGTAAACATTTACAAAATTTTCATGCAATTAATAATTCAAATTTCGGCCAAAATTAATCGACATTTCATTTAAAAAAACAAAAGATCGAGTACTAAGCGGTGTAAAAAGGATACCTAAAATGAATTGATGAAAAACGGAAGCGAAAAGCAGTTAAAAAATGCAGCGATCCACTCCTCGAAATTTCAGTCATTTCAGCGACAGAGGATTCGGTCTTTTGCAGCGTACAAAGCTTGAAGTGACTTGCAAGGATGCATTTATTTTTGTAATGTTGCCCAAAAATATTTTAGTTAGGTTAAACTACCTAGTTAGTTATCTAACTATTAGTGTATTTTTATTTTGGTCACAAAATCACTTATATTTTCGATCAATTTTATTTTTGTTTAAATCATTAAGAAAATAATAACAATTCCTTTTTGATTGATTAATTAACATATTTACTATTTTTTATAATTAACACATTTAATTTTTGTCCAAACTTCTCTCAATCAATTAACAATAAATGTGTACACACAATGCATATGTTGCTATTCAAATAAAAAACCTATAAGGAGAACAAACAGTTACAACACTCTTTTTTAACCACCGATCGTTTCATGAGTTTCTCATAAATTTTATTTAAAATATAATTTTGATATCTTTAATATAATATTTAAACATTAATTTGATACATAAATTCTGACTGGATATTATTATGTACATATAATAAATTTTTTATTATAACTTGTATGTATATATAAATCTTTGATTTTGATTCAACAATACACATCTAAATAAATAAATATATTTAATATCAATTTATTAAAATTAAATTAAAAAAATATCAAATATAAAATTATACTAAATCAAAATTCATATATATAATATTACACAACAGTATACACCACTGGTGTATACTTTTCAGTCTTCTTAAAATATTGCCTCCATTCATAGTAAATTTCTTCAATGCTCGTAGTTTTTATTTCATAAATCTGTAATGTTAATTTATTTTTCTTTTAATTTACGATCAATTACTTGTAATTATCTTCTATAATCCGTAACAATTATCGTAATTTAACCAAGATGGGCTCCAAAGGAGGGTGAAAATAAAATCCACCGGAAATCTTGGGATGGGAAGGAAGGATAGAGGTGGCATGGGATTAACAGGGAAAATTCTATAAGGTGGGTGACAGAAAACTTCTGCTACTGGTCCTGAGGTAGTGGACTGGAAATTGGCTTTGTGTAAAGGAGTTGAAATTGCTGTAAGAGAGAAATGGGAGAAAGTTATTGCTACTGCTGCTCTGAAAATTAAGAGTGATAGAAGATGGAAATCATGGCCAGATTTCGAGTAAGTAGATAACCTCATCAAGGAGATTTCAAGTCATTAAGCGTGATGTGATACGAACAGAGCCGCTGACGGTGGCTGTTCAAGCTAAGCCGGCGATGTACTCGAAGGGTCAGATTAATCAACCATTCATGCTGGATAAGATGTTTTACAGTAAAAAAGGTAGTTTTTAAAATCAATTGTGAAACAAAAATAGCACTTAAACCCATCCTAGTTCATACATCTGAAGAGGAAAACTTGGTTGAAATGACACACGAGTCTACCAAAAATTGAAATATCATAGCATAGAAAATAGAAGGTAAAGGGAAGAGAGATTGCTAGCTTCTCATTTAAAGCACTTGGCATCCAACAGAGGCTCTCCCTCAAAAGGTTCACAGTCTTCTATCATCTGACTCGCTCGTTCCTTCTGTTCTTCATCGGTGATATCGACCTTCTTCCACTCATACAGTTCCATGTCGTAGCACTCGTCGAGGACGAATTGAGGAATTTCTTGCCCGCGGAAAAGCCATAATCCTTTGACCTTGAATGGGGGCTCGGCTCCGATTACCAACATCTTCCCGAATGCATATTTGCGCGCCAAATCCATTCTCTGTAAGAACCCTCCTACTTTGTTCATGGTGACAAATGAGACTGTATTCTCCTCATTGTATTTGTAGTCGCAGAACCAGAGTGAGAATCCTTCGGGATCGTACATGTCCCAGAACCCTGAAATAGATACAGGAGAAAATAAATCAGAACTTGGAAATCTCAGTGCAAAACAAGTGATGAAACCAACCGGGATACCTTTAATTGCAACCTCACGGAAATTTGTCTTTGTGTTGGAGTACAGCCTCTTCCAATCGTCGAGTACCATCTTACTGGGCGGCAGCAAATCGAGAGGATTCTTCGGTTTGGGCTTTGGTGCCTCTTCCTCCTCAGCAGCCTCAGCCTTTGCTGGCGGTTTCTCAGCCTCCTTTTTTGTTTCTTTCTTTGGTTCAGCCTTGGCCTTTGGTTTAGTCTCTTTCGGCTGAGCTGCAGGCTTCTTCAATGTAACAGGTGGCATGGTCTCTGCCTGCTTTACTTCACCGATAATCTTCTTGAAATTTGGCTGATTAACCATGGTCCAGAAGTACCTCTCGATGTGAGGGAATTCCGAGGTAAAACTCTTCGTCATTATATGGAAAAAACCCATATAGAGATTGCATGTCATGATAATGTCAGCAAGGGTGACTGAGTGCCCAACCAGGTAGGTATTGGAAGCAAGGTGAGTGCTTAATGAGCCCAGTGCTCTCTTCAATGAAGCAATAGCAGCTTCCTCGGCCTACATTACTCAAATAAATTAGAGTTCAGTTAAAATTAGACGGGTAAGAATGACAGCATCAAAGGAATCGGATAGAAAACAGCTTAATCTCTTCAAAATAAACAAGAAAAAGACACCGCCAGCCTAGTCAATCCAACTGGGATGCTTCTGAACCAAAATTACTTGGATTCATTCACTTCAAGAAACTATGACGGAAGAACCTGATGAAAAAAGTTGTCTCAAAAGCTACTGTGCATACAACTTACGGGAGGAAGGTAGACAGACAAACCAACTCTTGGATAGAGCCATTTTGCAATATTAGCATCAACTTCCATGGATGCAAAATCAATCCACTGCTCAATACGAGCCTGAGAAAAATCAAGCAAATGTATATGTGCATCAAGTATAATAGTTTAAATTGAACTTAATTGATGCCACAAGATCAAGAAGATCATGGTACTGGTAGTGATAAAAACTTACATAATCAATCAATGTAGAACCGAATAGAGGATTGTCAGCCTTTGAGCGAGTAACTGCAATAGGAAGTAAGGAGATCAATAAGTAAACAACAATCACCAGAAGAAAATGTAGATTTCAGTTTGTCTCCTCTAACCGTAACGAGCAATAGCATTGCTCTCAAATATGGGACCCTCGGGTGTTTCTAGCACAGGAACCTATATAAAAGTCACAGATATTCGTCTCTGAGAATTCAAAGAAAAATAATGCAACTTACAAATACAAAAGTATTCTCTCAAAATTTAATCTATCAATAAGCATAGTTACCTTTCCAATAGGGTTCATTTTGAGGAACTCAGGAGTTTTATTCGAGACACCCATCTCAAAGTTCTGAACCAATTTGACCTCCACGCCACTGTATTCAGCGGCAATGAGTGCCTTAAAGGCATTTTTGTTTGTGTTTCCAGCATGCAAGAACTGCATGTACATCAAATATCAACGACGTTCACAAAATTAATTCCAACACCAAACACCACATTCAAAAGACAGTTTTCCTTTGGATCATAAATAGCATCAATTGCAACAACAAAAAACATATCTAATAGAAATGTGACATTTATGGATGTACTCAATGCGAATTTAGTAGTAGATTTGAAATTCTTGAAGATATTGGTAAATCTTTCAAATACATAATCATATCAAATCTGAGCCCGGATCTCACTATTTTCACATTCTAAATTTGGTAATAATACTTGGCATCTCCAACTATTATCCATAGTTAAACTATCACTGTCGATATCAACGCAACTCTCTGCAGTAAGACTCATTTATTGTTGCTAGTTAATCGATCACAGTTGATACCAGAAGCGGTGAAGTTGAAATCCATTTGCGAACGATATTAATATTTGCCAAAATCCGTCAACTATTCCACTAAGTTACGACTACGAGCAAAATAATATAACATTATATTTAATCTTCTACTTCATTTTTTTATAGAACATGCTACTTAAAATTTTCACCTCGACACTTCGAATTCCAATTGAAGATCAACTCTCCAACTTCTCTGTAATCACTTCGTTTCCTATGATTTTTTTAACAGCTAAATTACCCAATTCAATGAATTAAGGAGGAAAAAAGAGAAGAAAACTTACCAAAGACATGGCTTGATTGACAACAAGGAGACTCAGAGTTCAGATCTGAAAATATAAAACGAAAAAAAAAAAGAGCTATGACTAACAATCTTATGAAAAAGAAAGCGTAAGGGGACAAGAAATGAGAGAATATTACAGCAGCCGCAAGGAGCCAAAGAGTAGAGTGTAAAAAGAGGAAAAGTTAAAGAAGACGTCCGGGTTTTTGTAGACTGAAGAGGGTATATTTAAGAATCATTTTGGATCCGATCGGAGTTCAAACGGGTACGGATTGTAATAGAGGTTATTTTTGGGTTAACTACACCATATGTCACTAAATATTGTCCGGACTCATTTATATCACAAAATTTTCAGTTTTATCAATTATAATATTTAATTTTAGTTTTACATTTAGTTATGTCACTCTACCGTTAAATCAATAATAAGATGATGACATGACTAACAATTGCTGACGATGTATGTCGCACCAAAACGATATTATTTTATTACTTTTTGAGTATTACAGTTTTTCGTCGCAGTTGGTAGTCAATCATTACCCATCATTAATCGTCTTTTGCGATAAAATCAGTATCAAAATGTTCTCAATTTATTCATCTTTCTTCTTTTAGAATTAGTTTTCCATGAAATCCACTTAAAATCAATCAAATTAAACAAAATATATATTATTTTTTAGATGTTTGGATGTCTTCTTAGATTTACACGATTTAAGGTATTTGTTTGAAAATCCAAAATGTGAGAAGCATTAATTAGAGATGACGAATAGCATATCTCAAAATTATCCTCATCGAACGGTTATTAAAAGAGATCGAACTATTAATATGTTAAATTTTTAAATAGATTTTCATTGATTTTGAGTGGATTTTATGGAAAACCAATCATAGGAGAAGATATCATAGTGAAATGTGAACATTTTGATAACAATATTGCCACGAAAAAGACTAAGGACGGGCAATGATGGGTAGTCAAAAAGTGCACTGCCAAAAAAGTAACTTGTTTAAAAGTTTAATGATAAAATCGATACATCCTTAAAATTGAGTGCCTAAAACAACATCATCTTTGGCATTAATAGTCGTAGCCAAAATGACGTTGTTTTGGTGTGGCAGGCCACATTAGCAACCATTAGTCACGTCATCATCTTATTAATGACTTACGAGATGAATGGTATAATTAAATATAAAACTAAAGTTTAATGCTATAATAGGAAAAATAAAAAGTTTAGTGGTATAAACTAGTGAACGAGCAAAGTTCAGTAGTATTTAATGTAGTTTATCCTTGTTTTAATGTTGATCATGAGTTGTGTTAAGTCAAGTTTTTGATCTACTTAAATTGAAGGGTAAACTACTTCAAATATCACTCACTTTTAGGCTCATACTCATTTATGCCATCAACGTTTTAATTTTGTCAATTTTAACACTAACGTTTAAGTTTAACTACAATTATGTCATTCCGCCGATAATGGATTAATGACACGATGACATGACATCTACGTGTCGTGATATTGCTGACGTGGCTCCCTCACCAAAACGACGTCGTTTTGGCATGACTGTGTTTGGTGCTAAAAACCTAAAACGACGTAGTTTTATTTAAGAAAATGTAGTAAGATTATGTTTTTTAGGGGATTTGAACTCGGAACCTTTTGAATAAAAAACAAGGCTTAAACACTACACCAACTTAAAGTTTTGATTTAATTTCATAAACATAATATACATAACATGAGTTAGTATTCCAAAAGTTACTTTCTAAAAAACTCATGAAATTATTAAAATTCTAAAAAAAACACCTTAAATTCCAGAAAGTCTCAAAAAACTCCTAAATTTCTAAAAATCTCAAAAATCATAAACTCTAAATTGTAATCCCTAAAAATCATAAGATTCATTTTTTGGAATGAATTTAGGGATTACCAAAAAATCATAAATTTTAAATCGTAATCCCAAAAAATCATAAAAATCATAAGATTTATTTTTTGAATTGAATTTAGGGATTATCAAAAAATTATAAACTCCCTAAAAAATGAATCTTATGATTTTTAGGGATTATGATTTAGAGTTTATGATTTGTTTTTGGGATTTTTAGGAATTTAGGAGTTTTTTGAGATTTTCTAGAATTTAAGATATTTTTTGGGAATTTTAATAATTTCAAGGGGTTTTTTTAGAAATAAACTCCCTAAAAATGAATCTTATGATTTTTAGAGATTACGATTACGATTTTATATTTTTTGAGATTTTTAAAAATTTAGGAGTTTTTGAGATTTTCTGAAATTTAAGATTTTTTTTAGAATTTTAATAATTTCATGGATTTTTTAGAAAATAACTTTTTGGATTACTAACTAATGTTATGTATATTATATTTGTAAAATTAAATCAAAACTTTAAGTTGTAGTGGTTAAGCCTTGTTTTTTATTCAAAAGGTCCTGAGTTCAAATCCTCTCAAAAACATAATTTTACTAAATTTTTTCAAACAAAACTACGTCGTTTTGGGTTTTTTAGCACCAAACACAGTCATGCCAAAACGACCCAAAACGACATTGTTTTGGTGAGAGAGCCACGTCAACAACGTCACGGCAAGGAGATGTCATGTCATCTTGTCGTTAATCCATTAACAACGAAGTGATATAATTGCAGTTAAACTTAAACGTTAGTGTTAAAATTAATGAAATTGAAACGTTGGTGGCATAAATGAGTCCGAGCCTAAAGGTGAGTGGTATTTGAAGTAGTTCACCCTAAAATTAATTCGAGTATAATATTTTTTGTATTTGCTATCTAATTTGAATATGGAGAAGTTTCATTTGAATTGAAATTTTACCCAATTTTAAGGTAAACATTTACACTCGATTGTACCCGACATATATATATATATATAATTCATAAAATAATAACTTAATTGAAAAAAAAATATAGAGAGATGAGTGTTATACCAATTACCTCTAAATACATAAAGGTCAAATATACAATGATTCTCAGGTCAAGTTGGATATTTTTATTTTAAATCCAAATCAATTTATTCTTATATTAAAAAAAACTCGACTGAACCCAACTCAATTTTATTTTTTTAATAAAAAGACCTTATCGGGCTATATCAAAATCCATCACTAAGTACATTGATCCCTCTTAAAAGGAAAAAAATATAATGAAGTTTAAAAGTGACAGCGTCGTATATTATATAAAATATTTATTCGTTAATATTATAACAACTATTTGAATCTAATTTAACATCGAATACTCTTATGAGTAAGGTAGACATAATATAGTGAATAACAGTAAAATTTTATCATCAATAATTTAATGTCTTATACATGTAATGTTTCTGTAATCTTACTTATTTGAACCCTAAAATTTAAAACTTCTACTCTCTAAATTTTAAATTTTAAACTTTAAACACTAAATTATAAATCTTAAAATCTCCCAAATAAATGAGTAGGATAAACAATATTATGTAAACTGAAATTTATATAACCTATATATGAGATGGTGTTTTTAATTTTAACATCCATATAATGACCAAGTTTTATTCATAAATTATTTCATTAAAAATTCTCTTGGGATATAAAAATCGTATAATTTTTATTAATTTTATCTTGAATTAAACTTATACAAATAGGGTTGTAAATTAGATGTGATAGATTGCGAGCTATTTAAGACCGACTCGGTCAACTCTTGAATCGAATAGACTCGACTCGAACTCAAATTCTTAATGAGCAGAAACGAGTTACTTAATACCTGAATAAAAAAATTCGCGAAAAGCTTGCAAAAATAATATATCAAATTTTATTTTTTTAAATTAAATTAAATTATTATTAATATTTATATTTATATATTATTTTTTTAAAAAATATAATATAAGACTTTCATATACTTCATGTTTAGGTTCAAATTCAAGTTTGAGCTTCAATTAAGCTAAGTTCAAGAATATTTCGAGTTCAAGTTTTTTCAAATTCGAGTCGAGCTTGACAATTTTAAATTCATGAGTTTTTAATCGAGTCAAGTTTGATTTTACACTTTTCTAGTCGAGTCGAGCTTGGTACTACTCAAACTCGACAGTGCTAATTACAAAATATATACTTGGTATAAATCTATTTTTTTCGCAAGTGAACTACAATGCGAATGTTTTAAACCATGTTAAAACGGAATTCAAATTATACTTGATGAAAAATATATGAAAAAATTATAAAACTTTAGCATGCAATTTTGTAAAAATAATATACTATAGTGATATTGTTTTAATTTTATTGTTTTACAAAATGTAACTCTTTCTTTCTAATTATATTAATTTTGAAGAAGAAGAAAAATTATACGATGTTTAATCTGTAATACTTTTACTTGCTGGTGCTGAGCTTTGGGATGAAACAAAACACTGGAAAACAAAGCCGGTTGTGTTGTCACCTTTCTTTCCTTGCAAGGCAAACTTGACTCCGTCGGTCGGTTACGATCAAACTCATTTTTCACTATTGTATGTCTTTTCCGAACGAGCTTGGCGGTCGGCATACGGCATTAGTCTCTCATGCTCTTTCAGCATTTCGTCAAGGTTTTCTCCAGGACCCGGAGGAATCAGTGGCTCCGAACAATGAATTCGGTTTTTGTTCGGAGCATAACCCTTCACCTGTGTGTTACAGAACTGTTAGCATATGGTACTAACTTTTCATGGATTGCTAACACATAACATTACCTTACCATTGCCGATTCCCTGGACAAAAGGTGTGAAGAGTTCGGCTTATTAAATAACGATGGGAGGGTTGATCATTATCGAGATGGCTAAATCCGGCTTTAAAATGCCCTTCTGGACAGCGTGGACCGGTCATATGGAACCGTGAATGGCCTCTTACTGCAACCGAGTTAGAAAACCGGGACAATTCTGCTGCTCCAAATTGTCGAGCACCAGCCTTGATAGATGGGATCTTGTTTCTGTTCATAATCCGTGATGATCCGAAGTTACCACGGTGCATTGACAGGCCGGAATGAGAGTATACGTTTCTAGGCATTCCTTTCGGAGGCTCAGTAGGGCAGCCTGTACGATTTACTTCAATGAAACTTTTAGTGTTCAACTGCCATTGCCGGTTCTGTATCAAGCACCATAGTTACTCTAACATACTGTCATAAACATGC